TCAATCTGGATCTTGAGGCAAATAACATGCAAGCAGGGCTGTGGCAGCATCTCCTTTGTACCTGGCAGACAATGAAGTGAGGGTGTGACCGCAATCTGAAAGAACAACTCCGCGGGTACCTTGCATGTGCGGTATCTTAGAGTGCACCGTGCCATATGGTGCTGCGAGTATGGAACGGCCACAACTTGCGTGCTATAGCCAGCGGTGACTGAGTTAGTACAGTTTGTAAAGTTCGACGTACTGCATGTAAGTGTTCCATGCACCTATCGGGACTGCTGCACAGTTGACAGGGATGCCAAATAAACAGACGAGCAACACTGATGCTCAATGTTAGGAGCTTACCGCTAGCTATTACATCATCAGTGTCAGGGGCACCAGCGGAGGCCAAGGGGCTGCCGGGTTGTGCTGGCTCCTGGCTAGCAGGCAGGGTCACGGTCTGTGCCAGGTCAAGGTCCGACAGAAAGTAGGCCGGCAGCGGCTGCAGCGCATGGCGCTTCCTTGCGCAGATCATGTTTGGGACCTTTGGGCAGGCCGCAACATCTGCAGGCAAGGATAAGGCAATTGTTCACGCAATTATTTTATAAGCATTACATACCGGCTGGAATTCTGTCTAGCACAGGGCACAGCTTACACTGTACGGAGCACATAACATGTCAAACAACCAAGAGCTCAGCTGGATCAATAGCGGTCACTGTTTCTACCCTTTGGTAGCTGGTCTGGAATGTTGTAGCCAAATAGCGATTGTTGCAGTTCTTTCTGAGACGAAGTGCATTCAACAGCCACCGGCGTATAAAAGAAGGGAACAAAGTTTATATCCTTATTCAACATAGTTTGGCACACAACAAAAGGTTTGTCCCAAGCGAGCCAATCAGAGTACACTTCTCTAGTAAAGAGCTGTCACATACATTTGACTTCAACACTTCAATCAGTTCACAGGGGTTATAGAGTCTGCCACCTGCCATGTTACTGTGAAATCGACTATATTCGGTGCCATCTTAGGCTGTCCATACTTGCCTAAAGGGCCCTTTATTAAACATAATTATATTTCCGCATTCATATGTGTTTCCATTTGTGACACGAACGATATGCACAGCTGCAACTTCTTACAAAGCAGTTGGCTCAAGCATATTACGACCGCAAACTCCTGACAAGGCATGTCCAACTCTATCTGCTTGAATGGTCACTAGGAAGCTGCCTAGTCAAGCAAACACGGTGGACAGTAATTATAGAGTCCTTGCACCTGACGTCAGTTTTCGCTCAAAATATTTTTAGAATTCATGTTGGTACATTTTCTCCTATGTTTTTCTATGTGCTAAGAGAGTGTTTTCCAGCTCGCTGAAGTCCTCTTGCATTGTGACCGACTGTGTCAGATAGAGCAGTCGGAAATATAAAGAAGCATCGTCTGGTACCGTTCAAACACACTGCTGTTATTTAGAGTCGAGATGAGCTGGCACTTCAATGTACGACAGGAAACATGCAGAGCCTTCACTACTTTCCACAACGAGAGAGCTGGATTAAAAGCTGTCATTTGGGGCCATCAGAGATGAAGGCAGCAGAGCGACATCCCCTGGTGCCTTGAGCAGCAAGCTAGCTAAGCCAAGCCAAATCCTTGAAAAAGGCAGTCAGTAGGTTTATATGCCACCTATTCCCACTGCAAATTTAATGACGGACGAGAATGTTATACTTTTTCAGTTTCAGTGATATCCTTGATGCTACTTAACCGCACGTCGCAAAACCTCTTTTCGATTGCAGTCCATTTGCGTCGTCTAGCCGTTGAGAGATCTCATGTATTCAGACAAAACATTGTTATTATGTCTGCAGCTCTACAAAATCTGACATTACGATTGCTTGAAGCTCCGTCTTTTTCTATGAGAGCGATGATTGCTTCCGTAGGTCACGTATTTCGCCATGCTCACTGGGTAGCACCGCTGTCCACAAATCACCAGACGCCACCAGCAGTGACGTAGCTCACGTGAGAAACGACCCATGTATACAGTGATCACAAGCAAGAATATAAGCAGGGAAAAACAACTATTGCAGAAAGAAACAAAAATAGGCAAATAACATACACTTCGGAAATGTCCTGGTTGGAAAAAACCGGGGAGCTTTGTCCTCGTACTTCTTTCTCCCAGTTTCGTTAAAATGAGCGCCGCATATTCTGCTGTCAGAGGTTGGCGTCCACAGAGAGAACCGTCCAGTGGTACCTGCATGCAAAAGAAGCAGTTAGCACCATATTAAGATTCACCCATTCAACTTTGGAGCAAGTGCAACTCAATCTCAGTGGTAAGAATGGATGCAGCAGCCGTGGCGTCTGAACAGGGGCGTCAGTAAACTATCCGGGCAAGGGGGTAGAATTCAGTTCTCCTCCTCCCCCATCGTCACCCCACCGCCTTCTAAACACTTCCAGTACCATTGTGCAGCGGGCACTAAGAACAAGCACATAGTTTATGCCTAACAAACCTGGAGTGGATGCACGCTGAAAATGATAGAAGCACTGTGAGAGTATCTTTGCTTTAGCTGTAGGGTAGTGAGATGAAGCGACATTCCTGCGATGCAATCAAATATTGGTATGTCGGTGCAGGTGGAAGTGGCCAAGAGAGTGAAAAGGGCACATGCAACATCTGGGATTCTTTGAGATTGTCTTTTTTGTTTCAGTCGTATGTTGCACTTATAGGTCAAAAATAATGAATGCTATTTTTATTTTTAAAAAAAATGTGTTTCGCAGGTATGTTGTACATATGGGTAAAATGACTTGGGCCACGTCGGACAGTACACACACTGTACCTTCCTGATCATTGTCAGGAAAGTGTAGATAACAAGTAAAAAAATATGGTAAATACCTTTCCTGTTGATTCGCTGTACCCAAATGTTGCGTAGATGGCTGTTCTTCGGAAAGCGATTCCAGGACACATGCTTGGCAGTGAGAGTGGTGTGGGCACAGCCCGGTACACAGCAGGTTGTACCGCCCGTCATGTGGCTTCTGAGGGTGACCTAAGAAGATACTACATTCAGCTGACATCTCGAATAGTGAAATAAATAAGTGAAGTGACCATCAGTTTCAAAGTTGCAGTTGCTGACATAACTCGCTTGCTAAGGGCCCGCTCAACTCACAACCGCTGTTAAGAGCGATTGTGAAGCTATGCGATGTACTACATACGCATACCAGCCGCGACGATGAATCACCGGCGCTCGCGGACGGTCAGCGAACGCGAGAAAAGTGACGCCGCGCGGACGGTTGTTGACGAGCGCTGCCGAGGCACGCCGACCGCTGGTACAGCTTCGCAAGCGTCCGAAGGGCAAAAAGATCGCAACGACAAAGCACCGTCCCGAATGTTGAGCACGCAAGCAGTACTCGATATCCCACGCTCACATTTCACAGGGCGAGCGCATCACGAAGCGAAGGCATGTCGGCCTTCGCTTCGTGATGACTACTTTATTTCTCTGCTTACAGCGGTGACATTTGTAGTGATGTTCGAAACTGCTCTCTCGCGACCGCACACGAGTTAAATGAACGGCCTAGGAGCGGGATAGAGCGTAACGGCAACAGTCAGTACTCACCCCGGGAGCGGCGAACGAAGCGGCGTGGTGTCCGTCGACGGCCGCGTCGAAAACGATGGAATATGCACAAAAACACGTAATATACAGAAGAAATACAAAGCGCTGAACGAAATAGATACACTTATGAACAAGAAAAATACACTGGAGTAGATAAAAAAGAGGATTATTAAGTATAAACAACGAAGATGAAAAGTATGTCTAGAGCGAGGTGATGCGATTCCAACGGAGAGCAGCCAGACGACGGGGGCCGACAGAACACCGATCCCAAGATTCCTCGCGCGCGCGCCGGGGCGCTTGGGAGGACTGCAAATGGTCTATTGTCACGAGCCCAAGTCGAGTGCCCACGCAATGCTCGGGTCCAATCTATGAACCGCATTCAAATATCGTCACTTGGGTGTACTGGGACCCCCGAGTTACGTCATCAAATTTTGCAAAGGAGAGATTGAATGAAAAGGATCGCTTTTGTCCTTGAAATTACACCGCAACAAAGGAGTTTCTTGGCCAATGGCGTTGCGTGTGAGTATCCTTGAGTCCCAGGTGTGCCAGTAAGCTCGTGTATAGAGAGATACATTCTAATTGAATATCGTTGCACAGCTCCTTTAAGCACCTTAGTCTCAGAAACCAGTAACCGTTGGATCACCGACAACTTTGTAGTTCACTTCTGAATATTTGTACGTAGATATATTCACTTGGGTTACTTAGAAATGCAAATTGTCATTCCGTTAATTTGGCCCTTAGAAAGAGGTTAATAATTGTAACTTTCTTTAATTTAATAATATTACAGCACTTGACACCTTCCTTCTCTTTCACTACATCATTATTAAAACCTCAGTTGTTAGTCAGCGCTCTTTCCTTCCTCTTGTCTCTTCCTTACGTAACTTATTTGCGCTGTTTAAGTGAAGATGTCTATCCAACTCGCCCAGCAACTCATTTTGGTCCTGGGGGGGTCACGTGACGATTGCGTCATCAGTGATGATGACGATGACGATGCGGATGCCGATGAAGTCATTGGCATCCGCATCGTCATCATCACTGATGACGTCATCATCACGTAACCCCCCCCCCCCCCCCCCCCCCCCCTAGGTCCTCCCGAAGGAACCCGAGGTATTTCCGAGGTCCTCCCGAAGGAACCCGAGGTCCTCCCGAAGGAACCAGAGGTCCTCCCGAAGGACCTAGGACCTCGGGTTCCTTCGGGAAAATTTACCCATAATGCACCGCGCGGTTACGCCGACGGCGACGGCGACGGCGACGGCGACGGCGACGCCGACGCCGCTCAAGCCGGAAACGGGCGCCTAAGAGCTGCGCTCTAAAAAAGTCTGGGGAAGCTCGTGGCCAGCACGCGCTGAGCAATTACGCACAGAGCCATGGCCGCCAGTGATTACGCCCTGTACTTCACCCCAAAACAACCCAGCGGGGTACGCAGTATTTGAAAGGTGAATTACCAATATTGGTGGTGATCACTTTAGCCTGTATCTCGGCGAGATCCAGCTCTTTAAGCCCTTGCCAGGGAAGAAGGCCCAACGCAATCGTCCGCATGACGACAAGCATAAATATGAAGATGAGGAGCATGGGTATAGACAGGTAGCTCCTTTTATAGTAGCATAGTTTCTTGTAGAGCAGAGCCCTGATCTGGAGGCTCAGGAGGGCGAACCCCGTGACGGGCACAAAGTCCCTGTTGTACGCTGGACGAGGAAGGACAAGGCATTTTAGTGCAATGGGCACACAAAAAGGCCGTCTACGTGAGGTAAACAATATGCTTTTTTTTACCACTCTGGCATTTACAATGCGGCAATAACTGGTCAACTTTGACCAAGGACACGAAAGGATAAGTTTTCCGTCTATGGTAAAATGCGACAGTAAAAACAACCATAGCAAACCCGAGACCACACCGTGCACGAAATAAACGAGAAAGAAAAATGATCCAACAAGGAAGTTTTAAGACTTCCTTCTTCAGTCCGTTTCTCTTTTTCTTTTCTGTTCTTTTGTTTCGGGCGCACTATATGGATGTAATTCAGCAGCTAACCTGCGTTTTCTTCGCTATCTTCAGTCAAAACAATTGCGAACGCTGCTAGAATCGGTTTGGGCGTCGACATCTGACCAAGCTTTACCGCGTGTACTAGACATCGATTACACGGACACGTCTTCAAGATATTCAGATTAGATTGTTTTTATTTTATAAGTTATTTCGCAGCAGATATTAATTTAATATTGGTAGGAGAAAATGAGCACGACAGGGGAAGTTTTTCAGTTGTTCCGCCTGCCCAAGGATTGTACTTTCTACCCCGATAAGACTTGGGCGTCTCGTGGGCATCGAGTGTGCTTGCACAACCAAAGCAAGTGAAAGGCAACGAGCGTGTGCTGGAGGCAGAATAACCGAGACAGACGCACTGCCATAAGCGGCGAGACGTTTTTGTGGCGCCCTCCTATGATTCCCACTCATGACGTCAATACTTCGCGAACAACAAGTTCGATAGTGCTTGTAATGAGCATTGTAGAAGCTTAAAATCATTGTGCTCTGAAACCAACACTGCCAACACCGTCAAAATTGAAGTTCCTACATTACTCTTATTTCTGTCGATAAGAAATCCTTTTATGACGTCATAGTCAGCATTTGGCCAATCGTTGCAGACCAACCACAGCGTCTCTTTCGGTCGCGCACGTCGCCAATAGACTTAAGGCCGGTTTTCACATGCAGCGTAGCGCTTCTCACGTGTCGTCGTCAGCTACTTATCTTCTGCCATGAGCAGCAGTTTTGCTGGTGCGATACAAACCTGGTGAACGCTCCCAAAAGCACGCGCTTAGCGCTAGGTCAGCGCTATGTTTGTAGCACTCCGCTGCATGTATGAACAGGCCTTTATTCACTGATATTATTCGAGAATGATTTTTTTAAATCTATTTTTGCCACGCCGCTTTATTAAGTGAAATCATCAACACTATCGCTTGATCAAGAATGAGGCGTGGCACCTCTTCACAGTGGTGCGTCAATGATCTTCGATCTCAACTTTATTGTTTACTTTAAATGTTTACACGTATGTTTGTCTCATGAGCAGCACCAGCAGTAAGTGTGAAACACACGTAAAAAAAAATCGCGTTGCGTCGCTGCGCCGAGCGGCGTATCCTTAGGAACCGCCGCTGACGCTGACTCGACCGCATGCTACGTTGACATATTGCCACACGTGTCGGCGAGCGAGTGCGTGCGTGGCCGAGTGATTACCGCGCTTGACTGTCGCGCGGAAGCTGTAGGTTCGATTCCAGTCAGCGGACTACCCTTTTATTTATTCTTCCAGCAACTTTCCAGCGCGTCATGGGCACCGTACAGGCTGGGCTGAAATGGCAGAGCTGTCCCGTCTACCTTGACGACGTCGTAGTGTTTTCAAGCGACTTTGACGACCACTTGCGACGACTCCGAGCTGTTCTCTAGGCCATACAGACCGCCGGCCTCACTCTGAAGCCATCGAAGTGTCCGTTCGCCTATGACGAACTGAGGTTCGTTGGCCATGTGGTTAGCAATGATGACGTTTGCCCAGACCCAGAGAAGACTCGCGCCGTCGCGGCATTTGCAGCACCGACAGACAAGAAGGTTGTGCGAAGATTCCTTGAACTATGTGCATACTATCGGCGCTTCGTTCGCGATTTCGCAAAGATTTTGGCCCCGCTCAGAGACCTCACAAAAGACACTCAAAAACTCAAATGGGCCGAGGAGCAACAGCAGGCATTCGACGAGCTGAAATGACAACTCCACACTCCTCCGGTTCTTGGACGCTTTGATCAAGATGCGAAAACCAAGATTCATATGGACGGAAGTAACGCAGGGCTTGGCGCGGTACTGGTTCAAGTGCAAGAAGGCACCGAGCGAGTCATCGCCTACGCAAGTCGGGCACTGTTCAAAGCGGAGATAAATTACTCTACGACTGAAAAGGAATGTTTTATGGTCGTCCGGGCAATCACGAAGTTTAGCCCGTATTTATACGGGAGCCCGTTCCGCGTTGTCACGGACCACCCCTTGCTCTGCTGGCTTGCGAACCTAAAGGACCCTTCGGGACGCCTCGCTCGATGGAACCTCCGACTGCAGGAGTTTAACATGAATGTGGTCTACAAGTCAGGCCGCAAACACAGCGACGCCGACTGCCTGTCCAGAGCCCCTGTCGAGACATCTCCCGGTAGCAGTGACGATGATGACGGCGAGTGCTTTTTAGGCGCAGTGAACACCGACGACATAGCACGACGTCAAAGGGATAATCCTGAGTTGCGCGCGCTAATCGAACACCTCGAAGGACGAGGGGTACTATCCCCTGTGTCTTCTCGAGAGCCCTGCCGACCTTCGCCCTCCGACAAGGTGTACTTTACAAGCAGAACTTTGGAAACAACAGCTCGGCATGGCTGCTGGTAATTCCTACCGATCTTGGAGAGATCTTCGAAGCCTGCCACGACGACCCGACGTCCGGGCACCTTGGTTACACCCATACGGTGGCCCGAATTCGTGAAAGGTATTACTGGCCCAAGCTCCCGAAGACCGTTCACCTCTACACGCGTCCGTGCCACGAGTGTCAGCGACGCAAGAAACCACCGACGAAGCCGGCAGGTCTCCTGCAGCCGATTTCTCCCTTGACCGCACCGTTCTAGCAGATTGGGATGGATCTACTTGGTCCTTTCCCACCATCGACATAAGGAAGCAGATGGATAATCGTCGCCACAGATTATCTCACGCGGTACGCCGAAACGAAAGCCCTTCCTTCAGGGACTGCTGTGGAAGTCACCAAGTTTTTCATCGAGCCCATAGTCTTCCGGCACGGCACTCCCGAAGCTCTGATCTCTGACCGTGGATCATCGTTCATGGCCCAGCTGACGCAAGAAATCCTTCGTCTCAGCCACACCAGCCATCGTCGCACCACAGGGTATCACCCGCAGACCAACGGGCTCACGAAGAGACTCAACAAGACCATGCGACATGATCTCCATGTACGTCGACGTGGAGCAAAAGACATGGGACGAGGTGTTGCCGTACATCATATTTGCCTACTACACGGCCGTACAAGAGACCACCGGGGTGACACCCTGTCAACTGGTGCATGGTCGCAAGGTAACGAGAATGCTGGACGCGATATTATCCCACGAACTGGCCGTCGACGGAAGCGACGGCGCCCAGGCGGTTGCCCAATGGGCAGAAGAAGCCTGTCAGCTCGCCAGACTTCGGATTAAGGCCCAACAACGTGTCGACAATGGCCGCTACAACCTTTGTCGTCGGGACGTCCACTTCCAGCCCGAAGACAGGTTGTGGGCGTGGACACCGATTCGCCGCCGCGGTCTCAGCGACAAACTCCTGAAGCGCTACTTTGGACCCTACAAAGTGCTTCGTCGACTCGGGGATCTGAACTACGAGGTGATGCCTGACGGAACACGAACTTCATCACGCCGGCCTCCACGACCGTAAGTCGTCCACGTCGTGCGCGTCGTCAAGCCGTACTACGATCGATAGGACTGTGAATTGTATTTTATAATACGCCAGATAGGATTGTGTCGCACAAGGCTACATAGTTTGCCATTATTATTTTTTGTTTGTTTTTGTTTTTCTGTTTTTGTTTCCCGGCACGTCGCATCGAGACAATGCGCTTTTAAAAGGGGGAGTAATGCCACGCGCGTCGGCGAGCGAGCGCGTGCGTGGCCGAGTGGTTACTGTGCTTGACTGTCGCGCGGAAGGTGTAGGTTCGATTCCAATCTGCGGGTTGCCCTTTCATTTATTCTTACAACTTGACGGTCTCGTAAGTTCGAGAAAATTCTCCTGTGATCAAGTTACAAATGTTCTACGCGCCGAATGTTCCAGCCTTAATGTTCCAGAGACACACGGAGTCAGTTTAGCCCCAGCGTTCGACTCTGCTGTCACGCCGACTTCGACGCCCACGGCGCTCTGCTTTCTTCTGTTCCCTTTTTATTCTTGAGTTCAAATTCGCCCCAATAAATGTTTCAGTTTCTCCAGTTATTCTTTGTTTCACCTTGTCATTCGTGACATAATGTCACAGCGTGGACGTCGGTTGCAATGGAAGCACGCTCGGCGGCACGACGTAACCTGTTTTTTAACTAAATGACATTGAGAGCGCAGGCCAGCCGGTGCATATTTACTACCTTGATGACAGGCACGTAGCCAGGATTTTTTTTCGGGAAGGGGGGGGGGGGGGGGGGGGGAGGCGCCCATGACAAAATGCTGTATGAGGAGGAGAAGGGAGGGGAGGTCCCAGCAAAATGGAAGATTTCGGGGGGGGGGGGGGGGTGTCCCCCATGCCCCCCCCCCCTCCCCCCCCCCCCCCCCCCCCCGGCTACGTGCCGGCTTGATGAATTACCCAAGACTGGGCGAGAAACATGGAACCGCCGTAGAAGCGCAAGACAACTGCGACAGGAGGTCATTTTTGTCACCTTTGTCTTTCTCGCCTAAGTTTGATGTCTCTAGCTTTCTCGCCACAGCCTCGGGTAATTCATTAAGAAACTGGTTTTTGTTTTGATCACATGTATTTCAATCTTAAGGCTTGACGTCGACCACCCAACACGCGCGACATCACGCTGTGTGCTCCAGCTCTGATTCCAAATTTAGAAACTTAAACAAGATAGCCTGCTTTTGTGTGCAGCGTGAAACGAAACATTGCAACCAAGCGTTTTGTAGCGCTCGCCCATGGCGACAGAAACAAAAAGCATAGAAAGGATTATCAAATAGTACTCACATTCTCTGTCTTTCTCGATCGAGTGAGACTTGGTCTTGTCTTTGTCGTCCGCTACGTCCGTTGTCGTCATACCACCTCCTCCTCCTTCGCCTCCCCCTCCCAGTGCTCCTGCGCTGCTTTCGCTGGACTCGGCGTCCGTTTCCATTATGCTGCTTGCTTCATCCACTCTGAAACAAAAGGGCGCTGATTACATCGCAGTGACAAATAAAACGACACAATCGGTGCTTCGTCTAATGTTTAAGCACCTGCGTTGATATAGCTTGAATTAAAATCAATAATAAGCTTCGCTTCGGAAGATATACACTCAAGCCACCTGGCTGCTTAAAGTAACTGTTGGCAGTTATTTGAAGCTTGAATTGAAATTACTGAAAATAGCTTTTTGTTTCTTCGGAAACGGGGAAAACAACCCGCGACAGAGCAGAATTATACCACCTGAACTTTCTGTCGAGGTATGCTAATCTCGGGTTGTCACATTTTCAATGATAGCCAATGGCACTTACTCCGGACTAAGCGGGTAGTTGACGCTGTTCACCGCGTGCTTTGCCGGCAACCATTTTTTCGTTGAAAATATCTCAAAGTCGCTTATGATTCCGTAATAAGAAAACTAATAGTTTTGAATCTTTGGCATTTGGTCCGGACCGCTAGTGCTATGCCTAGGCGAAGACTGCGCGTTCGGCGATGTCTAGTTTATTTTTTGCTCAAACGGACACGGTAAACATTTTCGGTGACAGTTCCTATCATACAAGGGCGGACGGTTTGTAAAACTATGCTCATTGCGGGAATATTTGTGTTTAAATAAATTAGAACCAACTGAGAAAACTACAGGAGTTGTTCAAATGTGAGCATGACAAAATTTGTGCATTTTTTGGGGGAGCATTAGGTGGCAGGCTACCGAACTTCAAATAGAGCGCCGTTCGCGGACAACTAGAGATATGTTTGTTTCTCGAGTACCACAGCGGTTCATACTTGAGGAGCACGTCCTCGAGCGAGGTGGCTGCCAGGCCCAGGGTAAAGACCCCCAGTGACCTCCGGTTCTGTTCGATCTGCTTGAGCAGCTGGATCAGCGTCGTGTGCTCGGGGTTGCCCAGGGAAAAGATGATGTAGCCGCGGCGCTCCAGGAAGACCCTGGCAAGCTCCACGATGCCCGTCACAAAGGTCACCAAGTGCTTCACGTTGGGCATCTCGGTTGTCGTCATGTGGAGCCGGTAGCCGATGCCTGGGGCCGAAATTGGGCGCACGGCTTACAGGGGTACTGAACCGAAATTTACAGCTCACAAAGCAAGGCTAGAGCCATAGGCGAAACGCTGGAAATCCCCAAGACATCACTCATACAGTGACATCTCTAACGTATGGTCGTATTTTGGGGGAAAATGTGCGCAATTGAACATTGCTGACGAGACCGAGGAGACATGTGACATCATGATTCTCATTCCGTCTCTTCTTCGCTTCGTCCCCTCGCAGTGATAAACAGAAGCGAGGAGGAGAGAAGCGAGGCCGCTTCCCCTCATTCTCTACTGTTCCAGAAGGATCGTGACGTCATTGTTCTCGCTTGATCGCGCCCTTCTTTACTAAAAACATGGTCATTCGTTCTAGATATCGTTGTGTGAGTGGTGTTCTGGAGTTCATAGCGTACCGTCCAACGCTTCTGCGGCATTATTTTGCAAAATCCAACTTCCGGTTCAGCATTCCTTTAAGTCGATCGAAGAAATGTGAACACGCCGCGAAGTCACCGTCCTTGAATAAGTGCTTTCGCAACTGAGACTCTGCAAGAAGACAATCCTTCCCAACTTGTTAACTACTTCGCTAAATAATCGCTGCACTATAAGAAATACGGAGCATTTCCATTCCCGCAAAGTAGCTCGGAGAGCCCATCGCTGCAATCTATAGACCAACTCATGCTTACAACCAAACTGGAGCGCCCCTAGCGGATGCCGCCGGCGGCGCACATGCGCGGTGGGGTGTGAGTAAGAAGTCGCCGATAAGAAAACCATTGGACTGCGGTCTCGTCGGCGTCGCTGTGAGTCTCCGTGCTCTTTTTCGCATAAAAATTGTTGATTGTACGTCTTCCTGACGATGTCTGACTACTTTCGCGGCCTCAGCGAAATTATTGGCGCTCGTTCTATATATACCGAAAACTTTGCGTGGGTAATGTGACATGCGGCGATTCATTCCGCGTGGACGCCGCAGAATGGACGCTAAAGCCTGATTTTCATGATGAAGTTCTGCTCGCTATTTTCGGTAATAACATCGCTCGGGCTGAAAAAACCTGAACAGTGGCTGAGATGATCGACGTCGATACTGAAAATCGTAAGCAGAATTGGACCTTGTGAATCAGGCATATCAATTATGGCCACTGGTAAAAAGTATCAACATCTCCTTGGTTCTACTATTTACACCGAGCATACTTACCCCAACCAAACTTCAAACTTAAGTCTTTTGGGGCCTGCGCTTACTTCGTATTGTAATTAGCGGGTAAATGATTGATCTACGGGCCGCTGTCGTTTGACAGCGGCCATTTGAGCAGACGACAGTTCGAACGGTCAGGCAACGGTTTGAACTTTGACGCACTGAACGTAGTCCGTAGGTGGTCCGTACAACTTGGAGGTTTTCCGGCGTTCATGTTGGCGCGAAAGAAATCAATCTGACGACCAGAAAGCTGTATCTGTGATTTCCACCCAAAGTTCTTCCCGCACAAGCAGTCGGGGTCCGTCGGCGTCTGATTTTTATTTTTTACGGCACCTATCAAACGTTCTCGAACGAACCGAGCAGGCAGAAAATACGTAAAAACTGACCTTCAAACCTTTCTCGACTCGTTTGGTAGAGCCCTAGTCCCGGCATTTTGACGAGAAAGCAGATTTTTGTCCGATTTCTTCAAAAAAACAACGCAGGAATGCACGTCTCGCATAGTAACTTCCGCCCACAGCTTCAGACCGGAAGTGCGCCCAACGCGCCACCACCGTGCCGGGACGTAACAGTGCTGAGTTCGTGTACTGTAAAACCCTTAATGTTCGCGAGCCCTCAATTTTCGCGTATTTCAGGAATTGAAGGATTCGCGAAAATTAAGGGCGCGCGAAAATTTCGGTCCTTAAGATTTTCAATGCAGGCGTCTGGAATTCGCGAAATTTAGTGGTCGCGATTATGTCATCTGTGACCAATTCGCGAAAAATACGGGCCGTGAAAATAAAGGGTTTTACAGTATATAAAGGGCGCTAGGCGAATTAATAGGCTTTTAATACCTTTGACCTAAAGAATGGTCTGCGTTCTGACACTGATATGCTTTGTAGGACTATACACTCAACAAATTTCGGGGAGTCTACGATGCCCAGTAAAAACCGTAGCGTGTGACTGAAGCTCAGTAGAAAAACGGGCGTTGTTTTTAAACTATTCGAGAATACACACACTCGTACCGAAGCACAACGCTACAGCACGATTAAGTGGCAAACATAGAGGCGACAGTAACTCACTACTGACTGAAGATAACGTAGATTATTATACCCGCTAAGCACGTTGTACCAAAGCGCGCGAGCCACGCTGTCCCCTCCGACAGGCAGGCATGTGCTCCTTTCAAGAAGGCGCACGACGAGTTTGCCTATGGCACTCACCGTACTTCTTGCGAAGAAAAAGCGCCGAGCCGCAGCAGCGAACAACGCCGGCGGAAATTATGGCGACGCGGTCCCCCAAGATGTCCGCTTCCTCGATGCTGTTGGTGGCCAGCAGGATGCCCCTCTGGCCGCGGATCTTGAGGATCGAGTGCCAGAGCGCGTTGCGGGAGTCCGTGTCGCAACCCACAGTCGGCTCGTCAAGCAGCAGCATCTGGAACATCGCAACAGTACGATGTTTTAGAACCGATCGAGGCCGCTCTCGTTCGTCCGTCTTCCTGACTACCGAGAAGATATGATGGAAAAGAAAGGTTTGGGATGTGAGCGTGGAAGAGAAGGATCACCTCAATCTCAGGTTTATTTCAACGTAAGGAGGTTTCCGAGTTTTTTTTAACGCTTCGAGGCTCAAAGCACTTTGACTAAAAGCTCGCGATGCAGAACCTAGGGACACTGGGATTATTGCCTCCCCGGTCCATTTTTATCTGAATGGGCATCCGTGCGGTCGTGTGCCACTACTGCGTGATTAACGTTAAAAACCCTAGGCTAGCTGTATGTAGCTGCCCTGGAAATGTTTTTTTTTCATCTACAGCTACGACCCCAGTCGACCATTGGTGCTGGCCAAATTTTCTTTGTCAAACATACAACACAATAAACCTGTTGCTGAATTACCCGAGCATCAAGGAGGATACTGGGAATCTAAGTCTACGCGCCGCATGAGCTCGCCCTCCCCGTATAAAAGGTTCGAAGTAAATAACCATAATAAGGCGTTGGCGAACACGCGCGTAAGATGGAATTTGTCTTAGGCTTTTGCTTTAGAATAGTTACTGTACTCTATTCACCCATAAGCTAAAACTAGAGGCTCCGCCTTCAGCGCGAGCTTTCTGCCCTTGCTAACACAAGTGTGAACGTGCAGGCACGCGCAACCAAAGCACCGCAGAAGCCTGCGAGGTCGCGCTGAAGGTGGAGCTTCTATAGTCTCAACTTAAGGGTGAACGGAGTATACTGCAGACGCCAGCACGTGCAGCGCGGGTTACTACATTCGCAGCAGGCTCCTTGGTGCGTGGAGGTATAGTCGCTTTACACACGCGCCAGAATACAGCCGCCATTGCTGACCTTCTCTTGTTTTACCGAGATACCGAGCCACTGAAATCGGTGTGGACGAGCCTCCACAAAAGCCCATGCTGGGGAGAAAGACAGAATGAAACCTAGGATGGCAATGACCTAGCCTGCTATGGTAATAATGAAGTGAAGTAAACGTAATAAGGGGAAACAAAAACTGAAGGTCAGTTATGGCGGTGCCCATGCACAGCTGCTGCAAAGCGTCTATATTGCGCCTGGTAACATATTTAAAAAGTGTCGCATCTCTCGCACTATTTGTAAGGAAACAGAGTGCTCTAGACGCGTCCACGTTTTTTCCGAATTTTTTAGGCGCATGCTCCTAAGTAGTTTACCACGGAATAGTTTTGCGTGCATTCGACACATTCCCGCCCAAACAGGCACTGACCAGAACTCTTTGTAGGTTGTTGGGAAAACATTGACGCGTGCGTGGCGGAGAGTATCTACTTTCGGCTGTCCTTGGGAGGAGGTGTGCCTGAAAACCTATGCCTCCTTTGCTGGAGCGCGCCAGGAAGACAACGAAATAATTATGGAAGCAGCAGAAGCAGAAGACGCTGCTGCAGGTTCAGTGCCGGTGACGCAGCGGTACGGAGGAGAGAGACTGACGGACATGCTTAACGAGCAGAGCGTAAATTCAGGGCGACCCCTAAGCGATGCCGCAGACCTTCTCAAACAAGGAAGGGAGAGGAATAGAAGCCTTGCGTTGCCACTCCAAGACAAGACAGTTTTGGATGAAACCTTCAGGCAGGCTACAAAAAACCTCGAAGTCGAAGAGTCTAAGGGAGAGTGCATGGCCGAAGACGAGAGTGACATGAGCTTGGATGCCACAATGGAACGCTTGCTTTGTCCAGACAAATTGCAGCCCATGAGTACAATGGTATTTAAGCCTCTAAGCCACAATAAAGACGTCAATGAACCGGCATTTATTGAGTGCTAGGATAAACTGTTTGAAATAAACAAAACATCAAAAGGTATGGTAGTCATCAGGAGTCTAATACAGATAGCACCTGAAAGACTGAATAAATATTAGAAGACCCTTTTACATTGGCAGAAATAGAACACGCGATTGACGGATTATCATCCCACAAAACCCCTCGATCTGATGGTCTTTGTGGCAACTTTTATCAAAATTTTGGGAACAAACTTTCGCCCCCTTTGTTTGTTGAAGTTTAGTCAAAGCTTAAAGCCTTACCATCCTCCTTGCAATCCTACACACTCCTCGTTCTAAAATCTAATGACGAGGTTGGACGACAGCGTGGCACCGGCTATTGACCGATAGCTCGTAGCAATCATGAGCACACAGTTTTTGCAAGTATTTTATTCAGAAGGCTGCGAAGGGTTATTGCCAAGTTTATAGGAGAGCATCGAACGAGTGGTATTCAAGGTAGATCAATCCAGACTAATACGCACGTTGAGCGGACTATTTTGGAATGTTCCGTTGACGAGAGATGTCCGGATGCTACGGATCAAAAATCGATTTAGAAGAAGACATTTTACCAGGCGTGCTAAAACTACTGTGGAAGATATTAATCCATGCTAATTCTTGAAAGATAATTTTTAAAGGGGTTTAAATGGCACACCACGTCTGTACAGACAGACTATTGGTAAGCAATTCTTTGACTACAAAAAAATAAATTTTTTTTTTTCTTCTGTGCGGCGAAAGACCGACTGTCGTCACTTTGGTCGCTTTGTATTTAGAGTCTTTCTCTTTGAGCGTTATTCAGCCTGAGAGAGTGCGAAGTGTGTGGATGAAAAACTTCAAAACCAAAGTTTTTACGGATTCAAATAATACCACTGTGTTTTGTAGTGGCAAATACACTGTCACAAATGCATTAGAATTGCGTACTAACTTTTGACTAAACACGCGCTTTTTTAAAATATAAGTAAAGAAACATCTGCGGCATACGGCAATGTGAGTGAGTCACATAACCAACAAATTTCGAAGGAACGCAATAAGGCTTTGCTCTTTGTAAATGCCTCCAGTGCGCCTCTCCAGCACATGCAAAACACTACGGGATATTGGGCACACGTGGCTGGCGTTCTGAGGGAACGTGCCCTTAAAGGGGCATGAAACAAATTTTGGGTTGGGATGAATGATTTTAAATTGGGACTTTACTAATCACATATCGTTTAGTTGGCCAAACGAAAGGGGCGAGAAAGTCAAAAGCCAGCTTTTCGGTACGAACATTTGAAAATATAGCGGACTATTTTGTACCTTCTTGCCTTCGAAAGCTCTCCGCCTTTTCACTATGATACGTCCGCGGTTCCAAAAGCGCGTCACCGGTGCCAAACTGACGTCAGCAGAGCTCAGCTCACGCATTGGACACGAGAACTGCGTCACTCGGACGTATGCGCTCGTCAACAATGAATCCGTCGACGAATATTTGGATTCGCATTCGTGACCAATGAGTGCCCTGACGGAACTTATTGTCACTGGGGAATGACAAGTTGTATGGTGTGCATAAAAAAACACGGTGGAAGCTAGGAGTCATCGCACCGGTGCCAAAGGAATGTCACGACCACGTAATTTCACAATTCGCATTTGAGTTGAGGATTAAAGCTAAGGAAGAAGGAGTAGGAAAACCGTTTCATGACCCCTTTAATTGGTGTGATCCCGACATATCGATATTTGCAAGAGCAAGTGTTTGTAATGCGTTTTTAGTGGTGAAGTTGTGGTACGTGCTTCAGGTACTACATTGCGTGTGAACTAACATAAAAACACAGTTTTCACGGTGTTCATTTGGAAAATTCAGGGTAAATCAATACGTCGGGGAAATCGCTTTTTTGGAGGGTTTCGCACGATAGACTTGCATTATATCGCACCGGTTTTATCGCCAGATCGTCTAAAAAGTTCTTTGTTTGAGAGACCGAAAGCAACCATTTCTTCAGATTAGGTTTCAGACAAAATTGGCGGCCCTCCTACCTGATATCCTTAAGGATTTGTCCCCCCGCGAAGATGATGATTGACTTTTTGAAGGAAGTTGTAAATGCTTTTGATTTTTTGACGGTACAATCCACACTCGCTTGAGTACCTATTTACGGTAACGTTTAAAAAGCAGCACCGCTATCTCAATGACCACACTTTCCCTGCACTACTCTATTGGTCCTTGTTCGCCAATGGAGGACAGGATGTCGTGGTCCATGTAAACAGGATGGCCGTACCCTCTGTGGCGAAGAATTGTTTTCTTGTTTCCATAGCACCATATCATCTCTTAAAGGGTGGATGGGCGAGAGGGGTATGATGGAGGGGACTGTAGAATGTTTATATGAACTTATATCGGTTTCATTGGAGACAAAGAAGAGGACAAATACTTGATCGCGAAAATTCAATCGGAACGACAAAAAAAAAATAAAAACGTAATCGCAAAAAAAAAAAAAAAATGCTTTAACAGACCTCAACGCCTTTTAAATGTAAATATTGTATATAAAACCTTTTGATTACTACTCCTGTACCGATCTTTTACAGGGTTCTTGAGCCGTTAACTGATGGCGTATTGCAAGCAACCAACAACAATCGAGCTTGTCTTTATCGATTGTTGGTACGCTGTCTCTTTGTGGGATGTGTTTCAACTTTCAACTCACTCTAACAAAGACTTGTATAAGCGCGCCTACTACTCGTTGTCTTCCTGCTAACTTGCATGATAGCTTTTCTTACGGCATGATTAAGATTTTGACCTTGTTTAGCCTACGGAAATTGCGAATGATGGTGCGACAAGCGAAACCCAATAAAAAAACGCTCATTTTTGTTTCGTGATTTTGTATCCTACGTGAAACGTGTGTATGACAGTCACGATGATATACTTGAGTCTGCACTTCTGCTAGTGAATTTGTACCATAGGAAAGACAATTAATCCACAGCAGTCCTTCAACGATTCTGGGCAACTTGTTTTTATACCCTGAATAAAAATATGTGCGCGGCGGAGTTGGCCATTTACGTGGCTGCCATGCGAAGGTGCGAATTTCGAACCCAGCTGGGCTAGAATATTTCTATTAACTTGCAACCTTCTAGAGAGTTTCAGCCTTCAGCCTATTCTTCGTTGTTATCGGGCGTTCTGGTTTAGAACATTCCTGAACTTTCTGCGTGCATAAAAGCAGCGGTAAAACGCTGCTTCGAGACAGTCACCCTTCCGTTAAAGTCGCGAAATGTACGGTTCCTTTGTGTTTGAGTTAATGACATAAGCTCGCCTTGTTAAACCTTCATTTTAGTTCTAAATTTGTTTTTATTTGTCACAATATATCCCCGAGGACGAGGCACCTGAAGTCACCAGAATGTCGATTCAGCTGTGACGAAATTATGGTATTCCAGCTTGCTCGCATTTGGTAGATGGAAGATTTTCTCAAATATCGGAGGCAGGTTTTGCCTAATTATAAAGCTCGTCCTCGCGACCTTTGATGAATACAGAAAACAACCACAACTAAAATGACCGCGTGTCTGCTTCGTCAGACAGGGTGGCAGTCATTATTTTGGACAACGGATGTCAGCAATTGAGAGGGATAAAACCGAAACGAAAACTTTTTGTCCTAACAACAAGATCAGACGTGGGACGTTGCATGCTTATCAACCCAGCCCACATCTCTCTCTCTCTGCTTTACGAGCAAATTGGCACTCGACCCATGTTTCAGAATGAAGCCGAGATGAAGACCGTACGGAACACGAACATTCAACAGGTAAAAAAAGATTGCTGTTGCTTGGAAAGTTGGCCTTGCTTCCTCGATCCTTAACTGCTACATAACATTCCGGACTCTCCTCTTCCAAATTAAAACATCAAAACCTGGTCACCAATTTTTTTTCGGTTGGTTGTAGTGCGTTACCATTTCTTGCGTGTTTAGCGAATTTGAATGAGAGAACTCAAACATTTAATTATAACCAAACAGTCATATGGCCAATTTATGACCAATACCTGCGGATCCCCAATCAGCGAAATTCCCAGCTGTACTTTCCTCCTCTGCCCAGTGGTCAGGCGCTTCACCAGTTTGTCCCTGATGTCGTTCATTTGGAGGGACATCAGAATGAGGGCGAGCGCCTCGTCGGCGTCCTTGTTGTTCATGCCACGAACCTGAAATCGGGAGCGCCACTTTGGCTCAGATACCCTCACTCGACCTCAGAGATCACAAAACCATGGCGACGATGTCTGAAGAACGGTCAGAACCAGAGCGAAATGAAAAAAGAAATACAAACAAAGCAAACCGCAACAACGAAAAGATCCTTCGTGACAGTTATGCATATAAAGTGTATTAGTTTCTATATCCGTTTTCAACTAAAAAAACGTAGTAAAAAAAATCTGGCTTTTAGCGCAGCATTACTATTTTCCCCCATTATGTAAAGAATTAAGGTATATGTTGGTGCATTCTAGATTATATATAGCTTATCTTATCAAGACGTAGACGCTTCAAACGTCAAAATAATCGCTTCTTCCCACAATAGCCAAATCTCGTAAGAACAACTTCACGGGTCGTATGAACAATGCGTAAAACTTTTTTCTTTCTTGAGATGAAAACGATTATAGTGTGTTTTCAATGATGTACCTTCGTCCACCATTCTGTTGTTATGAGTTGTCTGGTGTGTGCGGAAGGCGAGCAATCCAAGGATTCACAAAATCCCTCAAACGCGTACACTATAAAAAATGGAGTCATAAAATAACTCTTACGGTTTCTCTGCCTTGTCCGTATTTTCCCCCCTGCAAAATTATTCTAAGCAAAAGGGTTCGTCGTTAAAAACCTGCAAGAAGTTCTTTTAACCTCATTTTTAGAAGCGACAGAGTTTTTCATCGCCCAGTCGACTTGCTAGTGCGCCACGGGGCGATAGGGCTTGTGGCGAAACCGTTCACGAGCTAAACAAATTCTATGGTGTCAAAGAACCTTAAAAGAACGATTTTTTAGTGCACAAAATTTTATATTTTACCTCAATGACATCTCTTTAAGAGGTTGCGATTTAATCCTTATAATCAATAAATATGTTTGAAAAAAATGAAAGCCGTTTATAATTCCCTGTAACGGCGGATTAGAGCGAATGGAAGCGTACTGAGGGATAGGTGACTCCTTGAGGTCACGTGACCTCAGGGGGTCGTGCGACGTCAGGGGGGTCACGTGGCCTCGGGGAGAGGGGGGTCACGTGACCTCAGGGGGGTCACGTGATCCCAAAGGTCACTAGAATTCGGGGGGGGGGGGGGGGGAGGGTCACGTGACCTCGCGGCTACGCCGACGACGACGGCGACGCCGCTCAAGCCGGAAACGGGCCCCTAAGAGCTGCGCTCTAAAAAAAAAAGCTAACAACAAAATGGCAAATTTACGTGATACGAAAACACCGTATAGGCGATCAGCAATTGCCAAATGTTACTAAAGAGACGCCGATCTACAGAGGAGCTGAAGTTTTCCGTTGACCAGAGCTGCTGACCTATGATGGCTTGAAGCTGAGTTAGTTGGTTCGTTGCTATATATAGTGCCAGCTAAATATAAAAGAAGAATAAGAGAGAGATCGAAAAAAATACACACCACTGGACTAGCAACTGTTTATTAAGATCATCTTCTTCTTTATCTAAATTGAGTTTCACTTGTTTTTTTCTTTATCTACAGCTACATTACATATAATTTAATAGCGATTTTTTTTTCATTTTTTTTTTACCCACATAATTGAGCATCTTCCCCTCTTTTATTTGTCCGTCATGGGTGCGGCCCCTCTAAGATAGACAACTTACTTGTGGTAGCGCGATGGAAGGCGCACTCAAACAATTGTCCGCCTTTGTGTCAATAGCAAGGGCGTCTAGGATTTCTCGAGCGGACTTGTTGCGGTTTCCTGCGAGGATGTTTAGGCTAGGAAACTCTGACGCAAACTGACAGATACGAAAACATGCAGCTTTAGTGAAGGCCATCACAGCAGCAAGGTACCTATTCACCCATTGTCGTATCTATCAGTGTGTGCAGAATTTTCTAGTCTAATCCCCTGGCAAGAAACAGCAACAAGTTCGCTGGAGCGTCCGCGGCAGTGCCAAGCTCTGCTCGGCGCAGTCGCGTTTTAATTGTTCTGTCTTCCGCGTGTCCCCTTCTACCATGTCTAATACCCTTGTTACACTGGCACACTTAACTGCAGTTACGATAAATCACAGTTAGCGCACACTAGTTGGATACATCGTTCTGCGGCCAAGCAGTCAAAGCCATGCGTGAACGTGTGCTTGAGCACCTTGAGCACCCATCGAAGCAGTGTCCGCGCGCTCTTCACTTCTTCTGAAATAGCTGTCCGAGAATATAGTGCGGTAACTGCGGTGCCGCGTAACAGCCGTTAAATCTGAGGTAACGGCGGTTAAGGGTGACCATGTAACAGGGGTATTTGCCTCGAGACCCAGATTGAATTGTGTGGAAGCCTGCTTTTGTTTCTCCATGGTTTTTTATGAGGCACATGTTGATTCTATCTGTCATAGCCTCCCCTATTCTGACAAAGCCTGACAGATCGCCACGAAAAGCGGTCGCCTAAATTGAAAAGGTAGAGCGGCAGAGAACGGATAAGAGGAAAGCCACGTGACGGGCGCCCCGCTGCGGCGAGACGCCGAAACACACTTCTCCCGAGCGATATAATGTCCGCTCGTGCTCCTCGCCTTCCTCGCGCTACCGCTCCTTTTCTCGCCGGGTTTGAAAGCCATGTTTCCGGTCCTCGCCGCTGCAAAAGCTGTGCGCTGACGACCAGGTTCCCCGAGAAATGTTTTGTGCTACCAGATCCTCGAGCTCCGAATTTGCGACCGGGCCCTCTATGACTCTGTTGTCGAACTGCCACACTTTGTGAGTATTGACGGCGAGATGTTTTGGTGGCGCCCTCTTATGGTTCCCTCTCGTGACGTCATTACTCTGCGAACAACAAGTTCGAAGGTGTTTGTAATTAGCATGGTGGAAGCTTGAAATCATAGCCCTCTGAAACCAACAGTGCCAACACCGTAAAAATTTAAGTTTTTGCATTACTCTTACTTCTGTCATTGAGAAATCCTTTGCTGACGTCATGGTCAGCATTCGGGCAATCGGGGAAGGCCGATCACAGCGACGCTTTTGACCACGCACGTCGCCGATAGAGGAGGTTATGCATCTGTTCGCAATGCGGGTGGATACAAAGCATCCACACTAACGGCGCAGAGCACGGGCAAGGGTACAGAGCACGAGCTCTTAGCAGTCGATTGCAGTGCGCGAGCGCTGCATTGGCGCCTCCCATGGCTCCGGCCTCGCGTGCGTATAGCATTCGTTTTGTTCCAAGTAAGTGTAAAACAAAGCGTAGCTCTGGCTTTCACCAAGTGAGCCGTATTGATCGATTCTCGAGGCGAATGGCTGGCTCTGGGGAAGTCGCATTTATATGGCCACCGCAGAAGATTGCACCCAGCTACCATTCGCGCCATCCTGTCTGTGCATATGTACACAGTATCACATGCGGTCACCACTGCCTCTGACACATTAATATGATAGACAGGATACTTCTTTTTTATCATTAGAGCTAGGATTTTCAAGGACCTCGTTGTTTCACTACGTCAAAAAAAAATAATTAAAAGTCGCTCGGCTTAGGTTAATAAAGACACTCATTTGGGTTTCTCGGCTAGCAGCATTTTTTAAGGAAACTTAGCGGAGATATTTTCCACTAAATTTGGTGTTGTAATCGTGACTCCACGTCACGTGGCACCATTTCACACAATGTTGTGACGTTACATGACACCATGTCACGCGATATTTTGACGTCATATGGCACTGTGATGCTACATGATACCACGACGTCCCGTCATATAGAGACGTCATGTGGTGAGACCAACGTTACTAAAACCCTCAGTTGGGAAACTCACGCCTGAAATCTGGGCCGCTTGCGTCTACCGAGACCGAGCTAAATACGATAACAGCGGCATTCTTTAGCGACGTGTTGAAACATGAAAGCTGCTTTACATAGCTACTGCGAGATGGCCCTGCGAGATGGCGCCACCGGCCCTTGCCCGACTCGACATGCAGACTTGCAGCTCCCGGAATGGACGCTGCCGGAGAAATGGCGCCGTTGCGATCGCCATTAGCTCGCTTCTCGAGTACGGATTGGAGCCACTTTTTTAAAGCAGGCTCTGTGGCAGTTTCCCAACTGAGTAGTTCTAGTAACACTGGGTGAGACCAACACCAGCAAGCAAGGTTCGTGGAGGGTTCCCAGAAAAAGCTGTCGTTTAAAAAAACACACACAAAAAAACATGTTAATTATTTTTAGCTTAAACTCAGAATCCCGCTTTGTGAGTGACACTGTTTCGGAAGATATGGTTTTTGGTATCCGGAGAATTTATAATTAGAAAAAAGAAGGGTTCAAAATGCAAACCCACAGAGAGCACGCATTTGTTTTCTGTCTTCACCCAGTAAGTGAGCTCCCGTTTTGAGTGCGAAGTTAACGCACCCGTCCGAAAAGCCACAGGTTTTCCTGGACCGTCATCTCCCTGTAGAGGGAGAAGTGCTGCGGACAATAGCCGACGGTCTTCCGAACCGCTGACTTTTTCTTGCGGATGTCTTGACCTTGCACGAAGGCGGTCCCACTGGACGGCCTGATGGAGCCTGCAACCAGACAAGAAGAGAAATGAAAGCAAGTGCAAAACGTTATTTTCAAGGTACGAAACAATATGAAGCCAGCCTAAAATGCATTTATAAACTGAGCTCGTTGTTCATAGCATTGCACTGAGTATGCAGAAATACTGCGGCGACAAACGTGTTTGCTGAGGTTTTGAAACGGATCCCTGGGTGTTATTTATGTGGGGTCGTCGTGGATAGAAATTTCTTCGATAAATTTAGTTCCTTAGTAAATTTGAAGGGATTCGCTAAGCGTCACGGTGTCCATTGATGTCACGTAACTGTGACGTCACATGACGTCTCAGTGTGCAATGTTGTTCTGTGCAGTCTGTGTGCAGCACTGTGTGCGGCGGCTCGGTTGTTACCGATGTTAATTTGCATGAGATGGCAAAACACCGAACATATTTTTCTTTAACGTGGGTGGGGTGTGTTCCGCAGTTCTTATGTCCCAGGCTTATGATATATCCACAAGAAGCTTGCGACAATTCTAGATCACGATGGACCGAGAGAGATTGAATAGAATTTCGTAACAAACAGTTTCCAGACCGATAATCGTTCTCAGCAACGTTGATTTGCCGGCGCCGTTTCTGCCCAGTACTGCCGTGATGTGACCTTGGAAGATCTTGAGCGTTATGTCCTTCAAAATAACCGTGCGGCAACCAACCGGTCCGAAAGTCTGAAACATAAGTGAATAAAAGTCAGAGGATAGTTTTTTTAACATTTTAATTTATAAGAGTACTTAGGAAATGAAGACTTCCTACAAATTCGGGCGCGTTTAATATAAAATAAATTGAAATATTAATTTTTTCTGTGCTATCACTCAGTGACGAGTTTGTAAGAAAGAAACCGGTCGCCAGCTAGCATAATGTTTAATAATTAATGCAGTGCTATATTCTGTTTTAGCTTTACAAGCTTTACATGTTTTCCTTTACTGTACGGTCGTTCAGTATATGAACAATAACAGGCAACCGCGACAACGCGGCTCAATTTAGCGTGACCGTCCCAGGAACGACCGGATTCTGAGCGCATGCGTGGAATACCTCCGCCTGTTTCTATCTTTAAAAAGGCCGAAAAATTGTGTGCTGAAATGTTCTGCACTTTACACAAGGATGAGATACTGACGCTTGTACGAGCATACTCGCACGGAACTGCACTGAGCGAGAAGCTTGTTTGTTGCGGTGTCTTAATACAAAATAGGAACGAAATTTTTTTTCTTCGCAATTCTAGTTGACGTGGTCTTGGGATCATTATGATGACAAAGTGACGGGGATCACCCCCGAAGCGACGACATACTTAAATGCGACTGATAAACTCGGACACGGGAACTACGTGGTCACTCGGTTTGGCCACGGTTAGTCAATGCCTCGGTTTACACTCGGGTTGTGACTCATGTCCAATCTCTGCGGCAACGGAAATGGTCGAACGCTCACAATGTCTGACAGTATTCAGAGTAGAACCAGTTTGCATTGCGAACCGCATCGAGCCGCAATTAAAAATATGTATGTAATTCGCAGCTTGATGACTCTATGCAAAAATTAATTATAGTATACGCAATACATCGGAGACGGTACCCGATAGTGTCTGGCAGTTCTGTTTGGGTACCATTGAGAGGCCCAAAAAAGAGGTGTAAGATTACCCTAGTGCCTGTATGTGTAGAACCATCCGCTACATCACGGTTGCTGTAGCCCTTAGTGCTGTTATATGGACGACAGATTAGTACCGGTTAAAGTCCCTTGATACGTCTTTTACAAGCAACGACAACCAATAGAAATGACAAAGCACATTCCGCTGGAACAAAATGGCAACATTCAGTTCAAACCTCTGCTGTGCGCCGCCATTCGCTCCCTAGAACCTGCATCATCACGCAGTCGGCGCTTCCAAGAATGTCGCTACTTGTAGGATAATCTTATCTAGGGACTTTAGTACAGCTGTTGCGCAGGCAAGAATTTGCAGTCCGCTGATGCTGTACTTCGTTTCGTCATCTGTCCGACCACAGTTGAAAGCACAAACAGACATACAACCACGAACACACGTACTAAAAGCGCAAGTCACCGGGCCTTCCCTATACATTAATGGCTTAGCCATAAAAGATCACGTAGAAAAACAGGACGAACACAATGACGTTGCGCTTTAGACGCTTTTTGATTGGTTCCATCGACTAGTAGCTTTGTTTGCGCCCGGACTTGAGGTGAAACGAAGAAAATATAGTTTTTAAGAATATGTATTATCGGAATCCGTTCACTTTCAAACTTATTGGTAAACCAGATAAAATTAGAGAACGAGCCCGTAAGAAATTACAAATCGAAACACGAAGCAACGCGTTAAATTTGTCATTTTTGTTGAAGTCCCGATATAGGAAAGAACAGCATTTGCTCTTCGACGCAATGTAGTACAAATATCTCGTGCTCACAAATGAGATTCTCCCAATAAGCCTTCTAAGAACCTCAGTGAGCACACACACAGAAAAAAAAATGGCTTGCTTTGTATGTTTATACAGCCTTGATGAGATACGGTCTCAACGGGTGATCGGTCTCTTAGCTGTAGATGAGAAATTTAGCCAGTGTAGTACAACCGCTAACCTGGAGTTTCAACGTGCATCACGCAGTAGTGATCACACGAACGCGTGCCGGTACGGAACTCATCCAGAGCGAAACGGGCGGGGGCGGCGGGGACCGAGCCCAGGAGGTTGCCATCGCAAGCTATCGCTCCGAGCTGAGACGCGTTAGCCCACTCGGCCACTTCCTTCCCTCAATGGGCACACCTTGGAGAGCTTGTATATAACGATGGCGGACTCCAGTGAGGCAGGGACCGGCTCAAAGAGGAGGGGGTCTTCGTTAATGGTCTTCGCTTTTTCCGCCGTAATGCCAACGCCCGTGAACACTCCCCAATAACCCGGCTGTCAAAGGGAAAACAGGCATTCATTAGCACTAGCAGAAACACTGCACATACTTTTATCGCACGGCAGAGCGCAATTGAAGGCTCGAACACATACAACCACGGACACCCAGTAAAAGCGTACTGAAGTTTATTGGTTCAGCCGACGATAGAACACGTAAAGGAAGATGTTGAACGCCCTTACGTTAAGCTCAGGGGCGGATACAGGTGTTTGCAGAAGGAGGGTGGGAGGGGGTGTCTGCATATCAGATATGTTTAAGAGCCCCCCCCCCCCCCCCCCGCCCCTCTTCGCCGCCCTAAAAGTTTACACATGTGGAATTCAAGAAGTGTTTCAGAACATCCGAACCCCCCCCCCCCCCCCCCCCCCCCCTGAATCCGCCGCTGGTTCAGCTTTTGACGCCATTGAGTTGGTCCCACTGGCTTGTAGCATCTTCTGCGCTCTGACCATAGCGTAAAACGAAGCATACGGTGTGCAAGCTTGTCTGCACGTTGCGCATCTCGTGCTTTTGTTTTGCCCCTGCCTCAACCACTGACTGGACGCGCTTGACTGCCTCGTCATCGCGCGTTCCCTGCGTCTTCTCTATGTTGCTCTTTGATTGGCGTGCTACTCTTTGTGTGCCGATGCGCCAAACACGCGTTTTGGAGCACTTGCTCGCCGTATAGACCTTTCCAATAATCGCCTTTTGGGAACTGCCATCTTTGTCTACTGGGCTGTGGAAGGCGTTCTGAGCGTGCGCAGCAGGTCTTTTCCACGAAATTTGAGATGCCGTCCATGCGTCATGGCCCAGTGACTCGGCATTTTTCGCCTGGGTGATAAGCGCTGGAAAAGTATATAGGGACTGATTTTTTTTTTGTGAATAATGTTGCCATGATCAGCACAAATTACGGCTCTTTAAGTGGTTGTAGCTATGGCCGCGTACGCTTCGCATTCCAGCGTAAGTTGAAATGCGAAGCGTACGCGGCCGGTTTTTTTTTTTTTTTTTTTTTTTTAACAGCCGTGTTTTTTTGTTGTTTTTTTTGGCCGGGGGGGGGGGGGGGGGGGGGGGTTAAACAAGACAGAAAAATATTTGTTCTTGTGTGCTTTGCTTTTTGAGTGTTTTCTGGGCAATATGTAATGTTTTCCTCTGGCGTTCATTGTTTTTGTAGTAGTAACAGTTTACTCTGCAGAAACGTTAACTTTGGGCGAATATGAACGACTTTGAAGAAGGTACACAAAGGCTAAACACCGCTACGGATGCGATAAGACGGTAACCCCAAACCTTGCGAAACAGATAAAGATAGCAGTGAACACACAATGCTTGCACAAAAAGTCAAAACGCACATAACAAACAGCGCCTATGGGCACAGCCTTTTAAACTTAAGCAATATATATATATAGAGAGAGAGAGAGAACAATATTCAATTTCTGCTGTACACGCATTTGTGCCTTGAGCTTAAAACATTTGAGCACAGAAAAGATTCGTAGGACTAGCTTAAGTGCTATGAAGCGGCAAATTCAAGCTTTACTGCCTTTTAAGGTTGTAAAGTTTGGCCCTGAGTACAAACCGAAGTGTTGTTTTTTTATTTATTTTTTTATTTAATAGGGTTCGTGGCATGTACTCACCATTATAACGAACCACCACGGCTTAGGGAAACTGTATCCCAAGGGCCAAACATTCTTGAGGTACCACGCAAGTGTGAGGCTAACGCCGCAAGAACTGAGGAGGGCCAGGCAGATATTGGAAAGCGTAAGCTTGTGGAAGCTCTGATGCGTGTTGAACGTTTTCAGCGTAATGCCAGTCCCTGCAATACGCAAGCGCGTATAGAATGCGCGACTCGCTTTTTCTTGCCAAGGTGTACAAGAAAGAGCACTCCTGACATATAGACATTAAACGTCAATTTACGTTGCACTCATAAAGCAAGATATGCTTGCACTAGGTATAGTAACTTAATAAAAAAAACTGAACTTGTCATTTTATCGCAGACCATCTCTGGGAAAAGGACTTATTGTAGACGGATAAAGTTGCATTGTGTTTTAAGAATTGTTGTCTCTGGAGCGTACAGGGAGAGAAAGTCACGTGGTGCTAGTCAGTAAAGCCGGAAGAACCAGACACAATTATTTTTTTTTTTTTTAACTTTAAAACGCTCCTTGCTCATTCTCAGATATACTCAGCTGGAGAAATGATCGAAGTGAACGTATGGAATTCTGTCTGATTTACATTTTACGATTGTTCGAAGCGTTTGTTTATCCGTTTCAAACTAGACACCGATGTGACTAAAGAACAGGGGGGCACTGTATACCGTCCTGATTAACATATAAACCAGACTTGAAGTGCGCCGTGCATGATGGTAACTTGCATACACCAACACGGCGACTCTGACATCGCGTAGCGGCGGTGGCGCTGCTGTCGACACTGCGCATGCACAGGTTTGTCACGTGACACAAATATGGTTCCTGCGCACGCGCAGTGCCCACACGTGGTGTGGGCCAACGCGCACTTGTTTATCGACATTGTGTAGGTCTATAGTCACTGACAGAGTTAGAACGGTAGGGGAAGCCCTTTAGCTGTCCCGCTTCCAGCACCAAGCTCCTTCGATAACGCTTCGATGTCTCGTGCGCCTCGAGAGTGTACGCGCACAGCCCAATCAGAGCGGAGGGCAGCGAGCTCGTGCTGGAAGCCGGGCATCGCAAAAGAACGCCCTGCCGTTCTCATTCTGCTAGTGAATGGTACTTGCCTGTTTTTGTTTTTTTTCAATGGCAGTGTGGCAGTCTGAATGGGAGATGTCTCCTTCGGAAAGTACTCACCCAGTTCTTCGCTCTCGCAGATCAAGGTAATGCCGTAAGTGAAGCCGATATTGGGGATCAGAAGAATCACCCGGTAGACGTAGTCGTGCGTCGTGAACACGCGCTCACTGTCTTGGAGGCTCGCCCCCGTGGCCACGATCATTATGATCGCGGGAATCAGGGTCATCACCATGATCACGAACGTCAGGATCCCAGCAATGTTGGCTGCAAGGAAACACGATGTGTTTTGTCAACGTAAAACGTTCTTTTGCGACCAAAAAAACAAAAAAAAAACAATCATGCGCATTTTATTTATATACAAGAGTCTTTGAAATCACGAAACAAATAGCCACAGTTACGCAGTCTGGTTGTTTCATGATATAATTTAAAGATTGTACAACCCTATATTCGTGTGAATATTTTGCATTCACGCTTTAAACAAATGTGAGTGTTTAACTTGATGTTTTGGGGAGCAATGATGCGATTACAATTTTTGCAAGAATAAGCATTTAGTGCATGGATCCGGTCCTGCGCACATAACCCCGACTCCAAGACATCCGTGTGTTTTACTCTGATTCTGTAGAAACTACGTTGTTGTTGTTGTTGTTCTTTTTTTTAGAAATAATGTCAACACACTGCTTTGGTGCTGGTATTTTTTTTATTTACTTGCACTCATCATCAGGCCTGCCATCTAGTTAGGTTGAAAATAAAACAAGCATTTATTTACTGACTGAAGTATTGTACTGATGCCGCAATATATCCTTTGGCCAATCTCCCCAGCTCGAAGAAGAATGCCGGCAACGCAGCGCTGCACGCGGTCGTATAGGACTTCGAAAGATTCGATGTAAATCATTAAAACAAGAAGTACTCAAGCTTAATCATGCTGAAAAAAACCTGTGTTACATTCCTCGTGGTGACTACTCTCTTGTGGGTTAGCTTTTCACTCAGGGTCATCTGAGCGCTTCGCAGATTGAAGTTTTCCGGTATGTCCTGGTAAAGGTGTTGATACGTCATCACTAACGGGGGTTCCTCAATAGATTATTTGCAAAATTCGAAGCACCCCATTGCGGCGCAGTTCCGCGGAACGCACTCACGGAACTAGTTGGCCACTCAGTTTCGGTTTCGAGCGAGCATCTTCAGTTCATGCTATCATGCCGTGACCGTATGCGCTGCTTGCGTTTTCAATTATCCGACTTCCTACGAATATGCAGTACTCTAAGCATTCTCGAGCGATATGGAAGAAAGACCGGGGAACTTCTCTTAGTTCCCGACATGCCCGATATTGTGCGTGCGTATGCAAACGTAGTAAGACGGCTTAGTAACCTCCCTTCTCCCCCCCCCCCCCCTCTCCTCTATTCCCGGTTTCATCTTTGAGCTCAATTTCAATACTCCTTTCTAATACCGGTGAACCACAATATAAATTTGATCACTTTGAGTCCTTCACGGATTTTGTTTGCCAAACGCCCGCTTCTTGTTACTTCATTGAGCGAAAAACAAGCCGCATTCTATGATTCTTATCGGCATTCTTAGTAAAAGCAATTTAGCAAAACGGTCAAGCTCCATCGACGAAGTCGTACCCCGCGTGGAAAGACTTACGCCTCGGGCTGATAATGGCGATGACGATTGCGAAGCAGGTGGCTGCGGCCGAGTAGACGGTGAAGAACGTGACGAGCACCGTCACGTCGCTGTGGGGCCAGAGGCCCACGGCCCCCGTGAGCGGGTTGCTCCGGAGCAGCACAATCAGCGGCGCCTGGACCAGGAACATCTCAAAGAAGGCGCCCACGGAGCTGCCCATCCAAAAGGCGGACTCCGACAGGCCGTTGATGCTCATCAGTTCCTGGAGATAGAAGCGCCAGCGCAAAACCCCAGTCTCAAGCAAGGAATCGTAAACTTCGTTTCACCCTAACATGGACTTTAACTGCAGAGGCATACCAGCGCGATCGAGTACTCGTACCTCTGGTTGGTGCAGCCTTTACGGTCACGCAAATGCAGCCTTTATGGTTAGGTGGCATGTACATTCAATAACTTTTTAAGCTAAACTTAGCGAGAAATGCGAACATTCTCATTAAATGAATACATGTGTATTTGTTCTCGACTCAACGTCAGTAGAATCTTCGTTTCAGTTGCGGTGCTCGCGCTCTGCGCCCGAGCCAGAAACAAATTTATCGGTCGAACCCTACAGTCAATACTTGCGCTTCGAGTGGCTGGTTGAGCATAAAGAGTGACGATGGCTTCACCCGGCTCCGTCAGCGCCGCGTCCAAACATTTGCATGTTCCGGTTCTGTACGTTGGTACTGACACCGTCATGCAGAGGCGGCCGTGTCGGCCTGTGCGCAATATCTCGCATGTTCATCTCAGCATGGATCGAAAATGTACAGCTTGTGAAGTATGGTTCAGTAAAACATTCTTCTTGAATTTCAAAAACACGATAGAATAAAGCATGTGGATGGACGAAGACAGTACAGTTCTTTCAATTTGTAACCGACATGAAATAATGCCGCCCTTCCCTTTCCCTGCCCCGAATTTCCTCGGAAAAGAAACAAACCCTCAGAAAAAACGAAGAAAACCGATAGAAAGAAGAATCCGTTAAAGAAGAAAAGAACAGAGAAGAACGTAAGGAATCTGATCTGCTTGAAGTTGGATAGATTTCTGGTTAGGCCGACGTGTACCCGGGTGTACGAGCTGTAACAAGAGCAACAAAGATAAACGGCACTTTATATGAATGCCGTGAAACGTCGAAAAAAAAAAATTGGCCCACGTTATTCCGCGCATAGGCAAGCTCTTCTCAGAAAGCTGCCTTATGTGTAATCTCCACTTCAACTGCGGGGATTTTCTAACAGTTTACAAACACAAAATAGGCAATGACATTGTGTAGTATACAGCGAGGAAGACGCGAGCTCGTTCCACAACTGATGCGGAAATTCCAAAACTACGGCTTTTCCTGTCTGCGCCCACGCGAGGGTCAAGGTCCTAGATCATGCATCAGGATTAAACGTGGAGCTGACAAAACCAGAGGCTCCCGCGGCGACCTCAGTGCTCGGCCAGCCACGCGTGGCCCTCGCACCGCGTATTGGGGTTATGGTTCCGAGCCTGATTTTAGCAAATGCATTTTTGTGAAACAAACTGGACGTTCAAGCAAGGCTGGAAATGAATCAACGTGGAGTAGGTAAAGTGACCGTGGGATTCATGGTAAAACAACGAACCATGGCGTACAGTGCGATATAAGATATTTCTCATTTGAGGACAGGGAAGCTAGCAGTAAGACAGAATTTGAGGATAGGGTGAGAAATATAGTTTCAGAACAATGCACGACACGAAAAGTTCTTAGCTTTTGACGCACGAGAACTGTCGATAAAAAATGAAGAAGGCGGACTAGAAAACTAAGATCTAAATATATGGGGATAACAAGGAGGCAGATGAGACAATAAAGGTTAAGAAGAGAGTTATCGAAAGTGAGAAAGAAATATGGGAAGCATGCATGCAAAATAAATTGGTAGATCGTTTCAAAAGGACCTTACTAATGAACCTACCTTTGACAATTCTAGGGGGAGCTCCTCCTTCTTGTTGAAGGTGAGGACGGGAGTGTTGCGGACTAAGGCACATAGAGCTAGATATCGGGAAATAGAAACTGTGTGTGGAGCTTGTGGAGACGAAGAGGAGCCGGTCGAGCACATGATACTTCTCTAAGGGTCTTGACCTTGTAGTAGCTGAAGAGGCGACAATTTTAACGAGCGGACTGGAATTTAGGGATAGTGAGGGAAAAATAGACACGGGTAAGATGAAGATAACCAAAAAGAGATTATCTCACTGTGGCATAGGTCGAGGGAAGTATGAATATTTTATTATTCCCTTCCAGGCCAACCATAGAGCGGAAGGCGTGTGTACACGGTTGCATAGATACGCTTCCGCCGTACGGGTCGTTTGCACATTTGCAAATACGGCCTCAGGGCGCCGCCATCTTGCATTGGGGAGCGTCATATTTTGATTACGACGCCTTGTTAAGGCGTCGTAATCGGATTAGGGCCGCGCCCAAATTTAAACGTGTATATAGCTTTTAATAATAAATCTTTAGATATATAAACCTATGGTAAATAAATTTTGGAGGAAAAAAAGAAACGCGGGCTTGGTGGCGCAAGCCGCCACCCGATTCAAAGGGTTCAGCCTTATCCACGCACCCATCCAGGGTTGGCGCCAGAAATATTTTGGCTCGGGCGCAAAGCTTTGGCAAGATAGGAAGCTCCGCGACGGAAACACGAGGTGCTTCTAGTGACGTTGTTCTTGACTGATGCCTCGCTCCTGCGAGCATGTGCGGCATGCGCGCTAAAGCAGCTTTGGCAGGCTTGCAAATGCTTGTGATTGCTCGGAAAAGTCAGAGACATATATATATATATATATATATAAATGACGTCCAGTGAATACACCCCATATATATATATATATATATGGGGGTATTCACTGGACGTCATTTATGAGGGCGATGTTTAGAACGCATACAAAGAAAGAGGTCACATTAATGGGCTGCCAAGACTGGCAAACTTGATGCTGTAGAATGCACGTGGCGAAAGAACTGTGGAAGCTCGACGTGAACAAGCGCTCAGCAGTCGCGCATACAGCAATGGCCGCCAGTGAATACACCCTCCACAGGTATGCAATCGCTTCTGCGAGGCTTCACGTTAAATGCTTTAGAATAGCACGCGGTGTACTGACCAAATTGATTCTCCAGAACGTTGGGTCCGTATCGCTACTGTCAGGGGCATATTGATCTCTCGCTTAGGCCTGCTTCAGGTAGGGCAACCTTCCCAGCAGTTTTGGTGTTGCTGGCGAGTTGTCTTTCCCTAGTGCAATATGAATTGCTAGGATCGTGTCCGGCCAGAAATGGACGAGTAACTCGAAAAATTCGAATATGTTTGAAGTCGCAGAAGCCAATCAGGGACGCGATATTTTCAGGTCATACCCCCGTGGTGTGATGATGACATCTAAAGACTTGATTCTGGTTTGAAATGAATCTCTTTTTCATTTTGTTTTTTAATAAGCCGTTTCAGAAAGATGAGTTAGTATTCTCAACGCCATTTGAAAATATAAAAACATGTTTATGACGTGTAACTTGTGTCAAAATGGTGCAATAAAATTAAAATGTGATGACGATGGCGAGTTGAAGCAATTCGGTGGCTCCGTGTGAACGCGGGCGGCCCGTGTTGCTGGTGTTGCTACGTCAAGTTGCTGGGAGAAATTGCCCCGTCTGAAGCGGGCCTTAGTAAACATTCATATCGCCAACGTTTGCTTTCGCTTAAGTTTCCTTCTTTTTTTTATATACTTGCTGAGTCGTAAGGTATTACGCGAGGGACTATTGATGAAAAAAAAAAAGAATCACTATGATACTTTTGAGAAATGAGTGAGTGATCACCCCAAGATCTTTTTTCCACAAAATTTGTGGCAATAGCTTAATAGAGAGAAAGAGAGAGAGAGAAGCACGCGAAGCAGGACAAACCTACGAGAGAACGGAGCTAATGTGCCACTTCACTCGCCTTACGGCGGCTATCAAAACTGACTGCGGTAAGGCTTTCGCTTTTTTTAAATATATTTTCACTGTTGCTCCGAGGGTTTTGTTCACACGTTCAATATATGCAATTTATCGTTTATTGCATCGAGCTTTTATCGACCCTGTCTATTGAACTTCGGGCTTCGAGTAAGTCTTTGTAAATGTGCTTATGCAAGTTGCCCGCATGTGAAAACCCTTCACGGACAACTTAATGGGACCCAGGGCGGGGCTGGCTAGGGAATTCGTTCTTCGGCGTTTCATTGGCCAATACCGCAACCTCATTTGCTACGGGGCGATAATGAGATGTTGGGGACGTGACACGCCCGACTTTTCTTAAGCTATCCGTGACAACATACACTCGAAAAAAAATCTGAAATGTCTATTCTCCCCGCAATGTACTCGGGAGAACCAATCGCTGCAATCTACGGAAACCACTCGGCGAATGACGGAGCTAAAAATAGCTTCGAGCCTAAACCATAAAAAAAAAAGAAGTCGGTGCTTTGGCATACGTCATGCCCGGTGCCACTGCGCGGACTGTCTTTTTTTTAATATAAATTTGAAGGTATTCTTAGCCTTGTCATTGGCCATCAAAGTACTTTGCAGGAAAGTAGGCGCTCCAGAGTTCGAGAAGTGCCGGATATCGTTTCGGGCCGCCGAGTGATTTGTCCACACCTTTGCTCCTGAAGTGAGTTCGTCGCAGAGGCGCTTCACGAAGACCGGGAGCATGAAGAGAAATCCGACGACGGTCGGGAGGGCTCCCAGGGTGTGGCGAACGGGGTTCTTGGACACCGTCTCTCGAATTCGTTTCTTGACGTCGTCCGGCGATGCCTTGTTCTTGACTTGTCGAAGCATGGACGGCTGACGAAACCGCGCCGACTGTAAGAAATATTACGCGGACTCCTTCCTGTATTCTGAATTCCGGACGGAAGGGTTCCCCGGGAGGCGACTAATGACATCTCCATTATATCTTGTATACTCTCAGTTCGGCTGTACTCGGATTTTTCACTCTCATGCGAACTACTCTTCGTAATTTAAAAAAAAAAAAAAAAAAAAAAATCGGAAAGCCAGTTTTTTTTTTTTAACGGCCGTGTTTACTATGTTGTTTGTTACAGCAATTAGGGGTCCGACAAGCTAGAATAATAATGTCAAAACTATTGCGGTTTAGTTATAATTATGGCCATAAAAAGCATTCAACCCCTGTGTTTCAAAGCTTTTTTTTTTTTTTTTAACAGAATGAAAATAAATAGTACCATTGGGCTTTCTATTTTCGCCAGAATTAAAAGCCATCGATAAAGTGCCCTAAACCAAAACTTTCTGTGCACAAATATTGCGACAAACGTAGATCCTGAGCTTTGCATGTTGCCTTCAACGTCACTCTCCAAGAGAACGCTAATAACGTCAAGGCGATTATCTTCCATCAGCTACAAACATTGTGACCTCAAAATTTAATATACTTTGTTTTCAAATTAATGG